TATATATTCATGCTCTATACGTTATTTCAAAAACACAGATGAGTTGTACTCAAATCAAACGAGTTACATGCTGTGCAGGCTGCGTATGTCTACAATGGGAGCATCGCATGTGTCCGAAATTTTGGTCCCGTGGAATCAAAGGAACGGACATTGAAACCTGGCAATTGTTACATTATATAAAGTAACGCTACAGATATCATATTAGATAGTACGCCAACTCCTGCTAGAGCTGATCTATATAGTAAGATGGAAAGTAAGATGGAAATTTCAATTTTCACATGGTCCTGTAAATGAGCATCATCGACCACGTGAGTTGCGCACTAGGCAGTGAGATAAGCTTGAATGAAGTAGCATATACAAACAACAAATAATAAAAGACAACATAACCTCCCTCAACAAATTTATTCGTCAAAAATTGATATAGCCGAAGGCTCTTTAATTTAAATTTAAACAAATTTTGCGCGATAAAGTCACTAAATGTACATAAAAGAAAAAGGAAAGTCGCTAAATGTACATTTGTACATATTTGATCAATATTTCAGTACGGTTTCATCGAGAAAAAAGGGGAATGTACATTTAGTGACTTTTCCACATTTTCAATGTACATTTGGCGACTTTTTTTTCCTCATTTAGAGAATATGAGAGTAATGAGAAAACGTACCCGTAAATTTGCGAGTACGTACATTTTTTTGTATGTACATTTAGTTACTTTTCATTTAGAGTATTTCCTCTTATCTAATAGAAGTAGTGAAGAAGAAACTCCGAATCTAGGGGGTGAATCTAAGACATGGCGTGTGGATACGGGTGAACAGCGACAATATATTACTATGGCTGTACGTAGACGATGGGTAGGAATGCATGTCGAACTAGGACAAAGACTGACGTTATATACAGACGATACTATATTAGTAGAAGTACCAGAACCAGCTCAGAGGGTACTATCCACACGCATGGGAAATGAAAAGGGTTGAAAACGTTTCTATATACAAGAAGTGACCGAGGTTCGCACTCGAGCTTGCGGCGGGTACACAACTTGCGCACAACAACTGGTAATTAGAATAAGCGTATTTGAGCCCCGTAGAGCTCAGATTGATATTCGGTAATACTATAAGCACTTCAACCACGACGTCGACCATTGTATTCTATGCTACAATATCTTTAAGCATATAAAAGGTGTTTAGTTCATTATGCAGCAAAAACCAGCGAGTTAAAGGAAAGGTCCATTCTGCCGCCAAACGACAGCTATAACTACAAGATCGACCAGAATGAGGCTGTTGTTTAATATTATGCGCAGGAACTACAACGACATCTCCAAACGATATATCGACAGATTTAATTTATGGGATAAATTCCTCAAGTGTGTAGAAGAAAATGGTCCCTGAAGCGTTTCGGGAAGAAAATTATGTAAATAAGTGACTGAGGTTCGCACTCAAGCTCGCGGCGGGCACATGACACAAATACGCACAACAGGAATCGCGCACAACAACAACAACACGGACGGTGTGGGACGACAAGCATATTAGGGGTCCGTAGAGCCACAGAGTCTACGAAACAGATTGTATACTAAAAAAAATGACTCTCGCGCACAACAATCAACAGTTTTTAAATTGTTGTAAATTATTTGAGCGATTTTTTAATTTGTACGAGTTTTAATTTTGTTCTGAGAGATTAAAAATCTCATATACTCAGGGTAAATCAGTCCTAAAATACATTCTACAGGTCGGTCACATGGGGCCGTCTTGCACATTAAACCCTTAGATTCTGAATCAGAATCAGATGAGGATGAGTACTTGCTATTGTGACTTTAATAAATGACATTGGGTTATTCTCCGACATAAATCATTTTGCTTTCCCTCACTAGCAAATGAGATAAATTAATCTAAATAACGAAACTAGCACTAAAGAATATTTATCTTCCTCGTGCTAACTGATTACCCACAGTTACACACTAGAAGACTGTCAGCTTGATTTGAGTATGTCGTCCTTGAGGTTACGAGTATTGGCTCAAGTGATAAAGTCCGAGATATTCTCAGTATATGGCCGTTAAAAGCCAATAAGGCTTAAAGTCCCTATTCTTTTTCGATAGATTTTAGCTCATAGGCAAAATCGCCGAATATTATGCACTATAGGTGTATGTAGATATAGTACATAGTAATAGGGATAATATTATTTATTTCAATTCGGATAAAGCTTTATATATGTCTACATGTACATCAGGCTTCATATTTGTTGGAGAGGTTCTGGGATATTGAAAGATTGTCAAACTGCCGCAAGAAGCTCGGGGTGAGTGATGCAACGATGGAATACATCCGTTGCGTTAGTTCACGGCGATGGATACAGAATACCTCTACCATTGGGTGGGAACTAAAACCTGTGTGCCATTGCGTGGATTAAAGCGGATAGAAGCCTAGAGTGGAACAATGACACAAAGGGTCAGTTGTAGGGCTTAAAGTCCCTTTTCTTTTTAGATAGATTTTATCTCATAGGCAAAATTGCCGAATATTATGCACTATAGGTGTATTTAGACATAGTACATAGTAATAGGGATAATATTATTTATTTCAATTTGGATAAAGCTTTATATATGTCTACATGTACATCAGGCTTCATATTTGTTGGAGAGGTTCTGGGAAATTGAAAGATTGTCAAACTGCCGCAAGAAGCTCAGGGTGAGTGATGCAACGATGGAATACATCCGTTGCGTTAGTTCACGGCGATGGATACAGAATACCTCTACCATTGGGTGGGAACTAAAACCTGTGTGCCATTGCGTGGATTAAAGCGGATAGAAGCCTAGAGTGGAACAATGACACAAAGGGTCAGTTGTTTACGATCCAGTTTAAACATGTTTAGACTTAATTAGTTCTTTCTATACAATGACGCTTTTTATTAAAATTCAGCGAGTTTTGATCAGTTTTCTAACGACTTGAAAAAGTGCTACGTTTTAGCACTCGAGAGTATTTTTTCAGCTCGGATTACTCTAAACAACAAGTTAGAAAACTAACCATAAGGAGTTGATTTTCAAAAGAAAATCGAGACTTGGAAACGAGTACAAATTAGAAACGAGTTAAAATACGTTGCAACAATTTAGAAACTGTGTTTATATATTGTACCAATGATATTGCGAGTATTTTACGCGCATACAGTTCAAGATTTGATGCTCACAGTGAAATAAGCAATAATAGCTGACACAGTCTATAATTGGATGCGAATAGTAAAATCATTTAGTAACAGTTTGTTCTCCTTTGGTACAACTGATTTTACTGTTTATGATTGGATGCGAACAATGAAAAACCTTCAACAGTTTTTTCACTGTTTGCACACATAATTTCAATATTCATGATTGGATGCGAACAGTGAAACAACCGTTTGCAGTTTTTCATCCTTGGAACAGCAAATTCCACTGATTGTGATTGGCTGTGAACCGTGAAAAACCGTTGAAAGGGGTTTCAATGTTGAGTGAGAAATTTGTATACGGATGCAGTTCAAAAATTGTTTGCCAATGCTACAACTCAAGGAGCTGTTGTGAAATGGTCAAACTAGTCTTTTGTGCAACCTTACAGTTTTATAATACTTTGTTTTTTGTTAACGAATTAAAGCAGTGTTATGTGCAATTCTTTAGTTTTCTTGTTCAGTGTGTGTTTGAGTAAGCATTGCATCAGTTCATGTTCACTGTGCCTCCATTGACTATGATGTTGATACCAGCTTTTCTATTTTTTTTTGTCCGCATTTGGCTTCGTATTCATGTCGTATGTGCATTCCTTGTATCCTTTCGTACTGGTGATATCTCTGTTTCTTCTGTACATTTATCAGTTGTAAGTACTTATTGTTCTGAATCCTAGCTAAGGCTTTGTCTTCATAAAGACCTCGAGTGTATAGTTATATGTCATGCGTGATAGAATTTGGATGCGTTGCATGCGCCGATGACATCGATGGTGGTCCACAATGCAACCTGTGTTGAATAGTTCATGAATCGGAAAATGTCGTTGAATATTGTTGTAAATGAAATAGTGAAATGCATGCATTTAATTTTAATTTGTAAAAAGTAATGCTTACTTTCGTGAGATCAATGGTACCACCAGTAGTGCTGAGCAATGTGTTAGTGTCCGAGTCATTGCGTAGCTTGTGTGTGTGGTCTGAAGTCTAATCCATTGTGTTATTCGTGTTGAATGTCAGTGGATGATTGTCCGTCATGCTCGGTTCCAGAAAAGAGTTCGCAGAGCAATTGAAGTCGAGATCGAATTGAGCTGCTAAGGAATGCGCATGCAAAATAATGTGTGATTAATGTTTGTGGATGCAATACACTGAAAGCTACAAATTCACATACATGCAGTGCGATGATGGGACAACCATTAGTGTTCGAGAATACTCGTGAGTATTCGATACGACATACTGTTTGCTGAGCACTCATTACCGTGTTGCAAGAGCCTGAAGTTGTTTGCAGTTTGTGAACGTGCACCTGTACTCTCTGCCGTTGTTGATATATTGAGTGGTTGCATTAATGTGTCAAAGTCGATCGTAAGCAGAAAATCGTTGTGTGAAGCAGATGTGTGAAGCAGTTTTGGTTTTCAGCAATTGCCCGTGCAAAAGTCTGCATCAAACTGGTAACAGTTTTTTTAGGCAGTATCAGGTTTAGGCCCACAGGTTTTACAACCTATTCTTAAAATTCTTTTACAAAACTCAGTAGTAAGGGAAAAATATATGTCATTTTACTATTTTCGTAGTATATTATTATTAAAAAGCACAACTGCAAATGAAATTTTGTTTAATTTGGTATTTTATATATATTTATTTTCAAAATAGTTTACATTACAAGAGCACGATTCCAGCAACGTCCGGGGAGTCAGAGTGCTTCACCCACGTACCAACCCCCGAGCTCTCATTGGAGTATGTATCCGACTACGAATCAGCAAGTAAGGTTTAACTGGAGTATGAATACGAGTGTGATCCAACCAACAGAGCCAAAATTAAGTATTAATCCTTATGCGAGTGCATTGGATTAGCCGTCTTCGAGTTTTCCTGCAGCGTCTACTGACCAGAACTCGCCATGAATATAGAGTTTTTCTGATTCTTTAAAATACGCAAAGACACTCAAACGCGTAACCATATATCTCTATCTTTAATTTATCGAACTCATGACAACGACTATTCAAGAGATTCGTAGACAATGTTGTACATAAATATATATCGCATGTATGACATCGACTATTTAAGAGGTTCGTAGACAATATTGTACACAAATATATATCGTGCATCTGACATCAACTCTTTGAATACGTATGCAATAA